GTAAGTAAGATATTCTGTTCAGTGTTATTTAACTGCTGCATATGTTTTAATTTTGATTCCATATAACTTGTTTTTAATTATAAGAGAAAGAAAAATAATTCAATATTGAACACATATTTTGAGTATAACAAAAGTATTTTAAGAAAAAAAACAACCTGTTAAAAATACATTAGTCATTAAAAATATTTAATTTGTGTACAGGCTGAATTAAAACTAAGATGTGGTGGTGTATTTAATTATGGTAAAGCACACTAGGGCTATCTGCGTAATAGGTGTGATGCCTTCGTGGAGGACTTTCTCAGGGAAACTGGCTCGTATACTCATTCCACATGAGGAAAACCACAAAAATGCCCATGCAGCCAGCCCGTTCGCGGGATTCGGACCGAACTACCAGTGTTCATCGACTTTACTGCTCGGCTGCTGGTGGCCGAAACTAAGGTGTAGGGCAAGTTTATTATTGTGCGTATATGTGTAAGAAAAATGTATTTTAATTGTTCCATTTTTATTGTATGGAAGGAAGAATAGGATGCCAATATCGAAAATTATTTACTATAGCAAATAATCACGTCAGGATAAATGTTATATAGAAATCTTGGGAGTGTAAGGGGATTATAAGAGTACTTTTAGATTATACTGAAAATATATGCACTTCTGCTAAAATCTGAAGTGAATCAGTATGAAGTGACTTTTCAAAAAATAATGTGATAAGTATACTATTTAAAAGTATAATGACGAATATTAAGAAATTTGTAGAATTTTATGGTATTTAAATATGAATTTGTTATGTCAAATCTTTTTATATATTTTTTGCTTGAGATATGTAATTAAACTGAAAATCACGATCATATATTTCTCATGGAATGTCAAAGTTCATTTGTATTAAAAAAAAATGCATGAGCAATGAAATTAAATAGAATAATACTTTTTGATTATGTTTTTACCATGGTCTTAGCAATTATGCCATCATGTGTTCTGTTCAACAAAAAATTTCTTTAGTGCAAACAATACTACGAAAAAATATTGAAAATAGCTTGTTTTACAATATTTATTTCCCTCAATTAACTTAAATATAATTTCCTTTCAATGCTTTCCTTTATATAAATTAATTTTTTGTTTGTTTTTTTTTTTTTTTTTTTTTTTTTTTTTTGTTTTTTTTTTTTTTTTTTTTTTTTTTTTTTTTTTTTTTTTTTTTTTTTTGTTTTTTCCAATTTTCATGATAAGAATTTAATGTTTACAATTATTTTCAGCATTCGTACGAATTCTGTGCATAAAATAAACATTGCTTTAACAAAATACTTTATCGGAAAGTATATACCCGGTATTTCCGGTGTATCTACCACATTTAAAATGATTATTTTGCTTTAGTTTACATTACTTCCATTACGAAAATCATGTAGCAGACGCGTCGGCCGATGCGTCTTGTCTCCCGGGTGACGTCACTACCAGCAACCAATGGCACGCTTTTTCCGTTCCTGGCCTAACCTTAGTATATTAAAGAACCTTGATCCGGACAACACTCGATCAGTTTATGTAAGCCTTCTGATTGTCCGGACCTATTATTACCTGTGTTATTTTATAACATCTTTATTTTATACTGTCATTCGTAAAAAGCAAATTAAAAGTTAATGAAATTTAATTGCAAGCAAATAAATGATTAATTATTGCTGCGAACTAATCTACAATATCCTTTAAATTCTGAGAGTACATGTAAATCAAGTGCAAGTGTCAAAATCCATGAATAAATATATAATTCCAAAAAATTTTTTAATCCTAAAAAATTTATAAAAACGCATAAGTTAATAATTGTTGAGCAGGCAGGAGACCGACTTATCAAGGGGAAGTTGCTTCCAAACCTATCTCTTCAATTATTTAATTCGTGTTTCGTCATCCATATAGGCAAGGTTAAAAGTAAAATTCAAAACCAAAAGTAAAACCAAATGCCGTGAATTACAAAAAAGAAAATTAAACAAGTGGAATTTTGAGAAATTAGCAAGTAAATGACTAAAATTAAAATTAAAAAAGGTCAATTAAGAGTAGAAAATTAAATTTTTTAGAAAACCAAAGTAATTTAGAAACTCTTGCTACAGAAAACTTCCCCTAACACGAATTATACATATAAAGCAAAAAGATACTAGATATTATTTATAAAAATACATAAATAATACTAAAACAATAAAACTAAAAAGGCGAGTAAATAGTAAGTTTTAATTTAATTCACCAACTATATTTGTTTTTGGAGCAGCATTTGCCAAACTAAGTGATGTTAAATAGTATGTTTCTACAAACTTTATAAATAGACGGCGCTAATATAAATCGAGTGTTAAGCTGCTATCTGTTAGATCTATTTTATAAACCTATTCTGTAAACTATTAAGTAATATAAAATGCATATTCTGTTGCAAAAATGTTGCTAACTGTCAGGTATTGTAAAAATGCTAACTGTAACGTTATGTGAAAAAATGGTTTTAAACTATTAAGGATTGTAAAAAATCGAAAATGTTTTGAAATAAAGTACGAGAAATTTTTTGAAGTAAAATTTAAAAAAATAATTTTAATTTTGAAAAAATTTTTAAAGTTTTTAGTAAAAGAAATTTATTGTAATAGTCTTAATTAAAACTGAATTTCAACAGGTTTAATGAGAACTTTACTAAATACTATGTAGTATATTTATATTGTCATACATTTATTTCATAATGCTATACTATTGCTATACACCAGAGAACAGGGGCTCCGTTGCCTTGCAGTCTAGCAGACTGCCTTACACAGATTAAAGCCTCTGCCTCCGGAAGCTATGTACTACCCGCTCCACCACACCGAGGTGGGTGGTAGGTCAGACGGCAAGACATACATAGGCGGACAAGGCTAGTGTGCAACAGAGGTTTCAATACATAGTCTGGATTTACAATTTTTTCTTCTAATACATTTATCACAGCCTATTTAATAATCATACATTTATCACAGCCTATTTACAATCAGTCCTTTGCGACATACTTCAGACATTAATATTGATTTCAGACATGCAATTTTACACAGTTCTATAAAAACTCCTGTGACTAGGGTTACAACTACTGTTTTCAGAAAAATAGTCTACATAAACATACATCTTAGATATACAATTATAAGACATTTCTTATTCAGACAATTACATACAATTTAACATTAGTCTTAGGGATACAAGGAAAACGTTGGTACACCAGTCAATTTTAAGCCAAATCTTTTTTTTTTTTTTTTTTTTCAAAAAGAACTTCCTAAATAGTTATAAAGGACGTAGAGTTTTAATTCTAAAAACCTCTAAATGCATCTTACCGTAACAAACGAAAAAATAAAATAAAATAAAATTTAAAAAAAATTATATATAGTATATATACATACACATGCAAGAGAGTTCAAGAGACAGTTAATAATGGAATATACAATGAATAGAATACAAAAATCAACCTGCAAATACTTAGATACAGTTATCACTACTATACATTTGCTGTACATAGCAGTAATACTACCTTTTCTTTTAAAACACTAATATATACAGGACTAAACAACACAGTATTTATGATATTATATTACATACAGTTACCATTCTATTAAATGTATATTCAACACAGATTATTCATTTACAAACAAGATGCATGCAATAGCCTTCAAGATATAGTGAATACTGGAGTAAATAGTTATTTCAACACCAACCCTAACTAGATTGTAGTATTAACTTCATTATCCTGCAAATACTTAGTTACCCTTATTATAATTTTTACAAATACTAAACGTAGCAGTGATACTACCTCCTCTTTTACAATACTGATACATTACACTATACTATACAGCATTTATGATGCTATAGTACAAACAATTACTATTCCAATAAATTTATATTCAGCACAGATAAATATAATAATAATAAAAAACCCTACTTAGTAGTAACATCAACTTCATTAACCTACAAATACTTAGATACAGTTATTACAACTATTCAAATGCTATACAGATCAGTAATACCACCTTCTCTATTACCTTCTCTATTACAGTACAGATATATACAAGACTATACAACTTTGCATTTATAATTCTATTAGTGTGTACAGTTACTTTACTATTATGTTCGGCACAAATTCTTCAGGTGCCAAAAAAATGCATACATGAGAATTCAATGAACAGCGATTAAGGGATTGAACAGTAAATATAATACTAAAACCCGATCTAGTCAGTATCATAAGCCTTATTTAACGACAAGCGCTTATATTCAAGTTATTGCAAATATTCAGATGTTGTACATAGTAGTGGTACTGCCTACATTTTGAAATACAGATACATACGAGACGATACAGCACAATATAAATGATACCATAGTTGTTGAAACTACAATTCTATTAAATTTAATTCAATATAGCTGGTTGGTACCCACTTGATTCAGAATTGTAAAGCTTCCTTGTTAAGAGAATGTTGCTGTGGATTAGTGCATTTCAGAAATTGCACTGAAGTTCTAGTTCAGATCAAGTGAAAATGGGACGTCCACGTACTTGCCTTAGTATTTTCATGAGGTAGGCAATAAAACTGTTCTCTTTGCGAAGACAATTCACGACAAAGCGTCTAATATAACACTTGCGGTGTTAATTTATAATGCCAAAATTGAATACTAAGCATAAATGAGGTAATAAGCCGAATATAATTCCAACTCTGACAAAGAACGCATATTTCATTTCAAGTCGCCCATTCGAAAATTTCGTAATTGTGCGTCATTCTAATTAGTACTGTATATGTATCTCTATCCTTAGTTCATTGTATCTAAGACATATTGTCAGCAGAAACATTAAAAATATGCTTTTCAATCTACTTATTTTGTAACCAGAAATGAAATGCTTCTTATTTTTGAAAGTTTTAGCTTCCGGAGAAAAACAAAATCGAAACTATTGTGTGTAAAATTGAGAGAACTTACCCTTTGTGCTTAGAAGAGAAGGTATGTTCTTTTAAAATATTAATGTATGTGTGAATTTTTATTGCAGTGGTATGGAGCAAGTATGGCAACACGAGTTCAAATCACTGTTTGCTCAATATGCACCACACTGCTGGAAATTGGTACCAGTAAATCAAAAACCAGTGGGGCTCTGGAATGCTAACGTTGACTCCGCGAAAGTCAGATTTTGCTGCGAGGTAAGGAAAATCATTATTGTTTGAATGCTAATATCACTCCTTTTTCCTAAGTAATAGAAAAGCTGATGTGTACACCACGACTTCCTTCTACGGAATATTAAATTATACGCCTCTTTTCTTGCATTTCATTTAAACTTCTTTCCTCGAATTTCATTAAAGATATATTTCTTATTCAATTAATTCAGTTCTCACTTCGCGACAAGGCAGAAATATACAAAACCTCAAAATATCTTTATTAAAAATTGAAAAACAGAAAAATATAAAGCATAAATACAGTTCAAACAGTTTACAGAAAAATTTTTACAATTAAAATTAGAGTTTCTACGCAAAAACAAGCAATTCGGCCATCGTGTAAGAAGGCAGATTTTTCGGTACACAAAACTGAAAGCTTACTTTTGATCTCACTCGGCAAACAAGCACAGGCGTAGAAACTGATTTAATTTGTTGTGGACGCTATGCTGAGTCAATATGTGAGATAATTTAATAACTTAAATGATAATTCCAGAATGGATTAAGCATGATTTAATTCGCAGTAATAAAAGAAGACGTTATCTTTGTTGTTGCGAAGCTTACTTTCTCTAGAGCAAATCCACTAGTCTGTCTTAGGCAACAAATCTATTATTCTGCTAAGTTTCAAATATAAACAAATATGGCTGCTACAGTAAAAAAAAAAAAAAAAAAAAAAAAAAAAAAAAAAAAAAAAAAAAAAAACAAAAAAAAAAAAAAAAAAAAAAAAAAAATTAGGCTTAGCCTCACTTGAACAACTTTTAAATTCTCCATAATTCTACAACTATAACATGCAGGTTAACTAAAGGCATAAATACCTTAACCGGAAGATAACAACACATAATTCAATCATTTTTAAAGCAAAAAAATGCACAGTTTACCGATGCACAACAACATGCTGCAGAAATCCTGTATACAAAATTTCAACGTTCTGGGGCTAGTCGTTTTTGAGATATTCAAGGTATATACGTATGTACGTACAGCCTCCCCAAAAAAATCTCTGTATCCATTTTAATTAGTTTCATAATACGTTTGGGGAAAAAGAATCCTTTATTCTGTTCTAACGTACAGATGTCAAGCAAAAACATCGTTAAACTGTCAAAATGCATATTTTCGTTGAAATATGGTACCCGGGATTTTTCGTGATTGCAATACTTCATTTACTTCGTAAAAAGAAGTAAAAGTTTTTAAAAAAATTACATATTCCTTAGCGCTAAATTTATAATTTTTGGATATTTTTCGCCCAAAGGGACATTAGACCCAAAATGGCATTTTGCGTCATTTCATTTTCTGCTTTGGTTCACTTCCAAACTGTTGACACCAAATATTATCGCCATGTGTTATATTTAAAGAAACTAAATAATGAAGCATCTGCATGAATGTATGAAAGTTTCTCGCAATGCAAAAAAACAACGGTACCTAGAGCCATCAAATTTTGAATAACGTATTCCTCCAACCGAACATAGGTACTTGGAAGCCCGAATTCCGAATTTGCTCTATATTCCATTTCAAATTTTGTAAAACTTTAACGATTTTTTGATTAGCAAACTCAACGATTTGAAAGCGAGCAATGGCAACAGTGTGCAGGGGGGAGAAAAAAAAATCTCCAGAGCGCAAAGCTGTGCATCGGAAATTCTAAATATATGCTGTTTTTAAATACTTTTAACCCAATATGGCGTTAGCGCAAACTTTCTTAAAACGTGTATGTGTATGTAACGTGTATGTAAATGAATAAAACGCGCGTTTAGGCGTAACATAAAATCTGAAAGCTTTCGTATTTTTTTTATTAGTATTATTATTGTGTTATTTCTAATTTCTTTATTTGTGTTTGATAACGCTATTTCTCCATTTTTCTTTTTGCGCATTTTAGCTAATAATTGGCTTTGAAAAGTAAAACTAAATCATCTCTTTGAAGGGAGGTATTTGTATAATGACTCTTGCACATGAAGACCGCTATAGTGTCTAATGAGAAAGAAACTTTCGAGGTTTTCTTTATGAGGTTATAATACTCCACGTGTAGATGTATCATTTTCACCCTTCTTTCGAGCAAATGGGCTGTACCGAGATTAAGAATTCTGCAATCGTGAATTTTATATTATTCTAGAAAAATGTGAGTTCTTCACACAAGGGAGAGGAATTAAATTATTTCCAGATGTCACACAAAGTGTCAGAGAAAATGATAATAATGCAAAAAATAATTAACAAGAAAAGAAATCCAAACAAAGGAAAACTGTTTACACTCAGCATAGCAACAAAGCAGTTGATCGAAATCAGATCTTTGAATGAACAAAATCCCCTACTGCAGCTATTGAAAGCATATGCTATTAAGAAATACTGCAGAAAATTCCCTTTTTAGTATTTTTCTAGATTTAATATTTTAGAAGAGAGCAAAGGGTTATTTTTATAATTGTCAAAATTTCCAGATTAACTACTGTTAGAAAAAATTTTTTAATTATTAGAAACGATTATTGCAATTTTACATCTATTAGATTAATAGAAATTTAATAAAATTTTTCTTGTTAGAATTTAACAGTATTAGACATGTGATAATCAAAATTTGAAATATTTAAAATGAAAATCATCAGAATTATGAAAATTGAATGTGCGATTCGTAATAAAATTGATTTGAAAGATGAATTTTAAATCGATCCGAAACTGCAAATATTAAAGTTCTAAGATGATTAGTTAAATCTTTTAAGTATGTAGAAATTTATAAAAGATCACACTTAGTATAAGGTATTTTCTCTCTTCTTTCTACGTGCCTTCGTGGTGTAACTGGAAATGTTCTCGACGCGTATGCGGAAGGTTCGAATTTCATTGAGGGCATTAGATGTTTTTCACGTTTCAGTATCAATATAACCTAATGACTCCACATACTTACACATTAAATGAAAATCTTCTGCATCCAATTTTGAAAAAAATTGCTTCGAAGCATGCAAGAAACCGCCACTGATAACTTTATGTTCTTTGCCGTTTCCAAGCATGTTGTTGTTTTTAGAAAAACTCTATCAGAGACACGTTGTCAGAATGCATATAAATTTATATCATTTGAAGAATTATCTAATCCTTGCCACATGTTCTATTGAAATACTATAATAAATGTAAAACGATGTATAAAAGAAATTAAGCAAACAACAACAACAACAACAAAAAAAAAAAAAAGAAAAAAAGAAAAAAAAAAAAAACTGTTTTTCACAGGCGATTCAGTATTTCTCATTCAGTTAATTCAGTTCTCACTTCCCGACAAGGCAAAAATACATAAAATCTCAAAATATCTATATTAATTACAACGTAAATCTTCAACACTTATTTCCACGAATAAATTCCAGAGTGGATTAAACATGATTTAATTCGCAATAATAAAAGAAGGCGTTATCTTTGTTGTTGCAAAGCTTAGTTTCTCTAGATTGGCAACAAATTCGCTATTTTGCCCAGTTTGAAATGTAAACAAACATGTCCACCATCGCAAAATTAATTAGGCTTAACTGCATTTAAACAACTTTTAAATTGTTGATAACTCCGCAAATATTGCATGCAGATTTACTAAAGGCATAAAAACTTTAACCGATAAGAACAACATACTTCAACCATTTTTAAAGCAAAAAATGCACAACTTACAAATATATAACAGTAAAGAAACTGAGATCACTGAACTGGTTAACAGAGTGTATATATATATATATTTAAACAAACATGTAAATACGTAAAAAAGCAAATTTAAAGTTAAAATAATTAAAAAAAGTGCAAACATATAAAAGATTTAATTTTCGAACTAATCTACAATATCATTTAAATTCAGATAGCATAAGTAAATCAAGTGCAAAACCAAACCATGAAAATAAATTCACCAATTTAGCAAATTATGCATAAGTGAATGATTGTTGAGCAGGCAGGAGACAGACTTATCAAGGGGAAGTTGCCTCCAAACCTAACTCTTCAATCATTCAATTCGTGTTTCGTCGTTCATGCAGGCAAAGGTAAAAGTCAAAACCAAAAGTAAATACATAGTAAAGAATGTTCAAAAAGAAATACCAATAAAGTGGTACCTTGAGAAATTAGCAATTAAAAATTAAAGTTCTGAAAGGAAAATGACCAATAATGAAGTATTTTGAGAAATAAGCAATGTAAAGTCTAGTATTAAATCTTTTTTTAAATTAAATTTTCCAGAAAAATTTAGAAACCAATGCATTTTAGAAACCCTCGTGTATATATATATATCAAATGTTATATGATCTAAATTCACTTAGTTCGAAAGCAAGTTTTTCTAATACTTGCGCAATAGTTGCAAAGTAAGATAATAATAATTTATTTACTAAAGAAATATTGATTATATTATCTCCTAGTATAAATTTAGTAGGAGTATCAAAAAAGAGTGAACCCATATGTAGGAAGTTTAATTCCGAAAATTGTAACACCTTCGTATTTATTAATTATGGTTCATTGAACGGGAGTTGGTTTGTTTCCCTTGAAAAGTCAACTAATTTCCGATCAATAGCGATAATTACTTGCTTTTAATTTAATTTCTTTTTCAAAGTTTGAAATTTTGTTTATTCATGATTTAATTCAAGTCCCCGTAAAACGTTTTTAATAATTTACATTCAAGTTACTTTAAAACACGATTTTCACAAATTTCTTTAAAACTCAGAAAACTAATCCAACAACGAAACACTGCACGTAAACAATGGCAACGTTCCAGATCCCCACCGGATAAAACACTGCTCAATCGACTGAATCGTCAAGTCAGGGCCCTGATACGACAACACGCGGATAAATACTATGTTTATCTCCTCGCTCTCTGACGAGGACAATTCCGTATGGAAAATGATGAATGATGATTACGTATGAAATGCCATGCTAACATTCCGCACTTAACCGCCCAAAATGGAATTTCATACACTGAAACTGAGAAGGCCGAGTCGCTTGCCAAATTCTATGCTGCTCAGTTTTGCATGAGCAACATGCAACACCTACCCATAGAACACTTGGTTACACGC